CCGAAACCTGCACAACATCACATAAGCGCACATCAAATTACTAGCAATGAAGAATCAATAAATCAAACAAAACATAAGGTAGTGATTGAGATTATATGAATGATACATGTGACTAAAAAGTGTATTTGCGACTTGATAAATTCCAATCTCAATTTGGAGGCAGCATTTTGCATATTGCAGGATATTGTAAAGATTTTTCTCAATAGCCTAAGAAGAATCATAAGGCATAAAGTAGATAAACTTACAAGCTTGATCTAGTGCAAGGGTGGAATACTGAAATCTGCAATTCTGGAAAACATTCATCCTCCTTCCTCTGCCTATCACTTCCAATATCAATTATTTTCTAGAAATTGCAACAAACAATTTCTTCTACCATATCATTAATACTTGGACCTACTACTAGTCATAATTCCTAAAACTATAAAACCAAATATAAGTCAATAGGTCATTTTGGAGCAAATTTCAATTCTGAGATGATAGCTACCTCTGGTGTGCTCAAACTCCTCATTCCTGAAAGCAAAAAAACATGAGAAAGGCAGCATCACAAATTTTTCAAACTCCACAGCCAAGTTTTTGTGGAGATAGTGTTCGAGTCAATGGGAGCTTATTCGCTGCAGGTAACAGTTTTAATATGAACACCAGATGAGTACCATGCCTTTTCTGTTGCAGCTTCTCTTGTGAGAAATGTGAAACTTAGTTGGGACCCAAGCTTAAACAAATGAAATAAAGGCAATATCGAAGTCTAACATTGAGGGTGTCTTTACTTGGATTGGACTGTAATTCATCTCAGATCAGATCAGACCAGACTTGGATAATTATAAAAGTACAAAGAAACCTGATCAGATCTGACCAGGTCAGACCAGATTAGACTAGCAAATTAAAGTCCAGGTAAAAACATCCTGAATCCTAAACATGCACCACATGTTTTAACATTAATCAATTAAACTCCTAAACAAAGGCAAATAAGATGCCACTCAAGTAAATTTTGTATAGAATCACTAAGGTGATTTTGAAGCCTCGAACTTATTTTCCTCAGATCGATCATTGACACAAATTAGATGATGCACTAAGTTTCAATAAAAGATTAAAGATCTACTACTACCTCCGTCCCGAAAAGGTTGGCCAAAGTTGACTTTCACGTGGATTAATAAATTAAAACTGCTTGAAAAAAAAGTAAAAACTGTGTGATTGAATTTTGTGTAGAGGAGAGAGAATTAACTTTAGCCACATATTTCTTACTTTAAATAGAAATGACAAATCTTTTTGGGACATCCAAAAAAGGAAATTTGGCCAACCCCTACCTTTTCGGGACGGAGGGAGTATAAACTAAAAAGGTGCGATAATCCAAAACAAATACAGAGGATGTTTTAAGTCTAGTAACAAAAAACAACAATGTGGTAATCCTATATATGTGTGTGTCTACAGTGAGCTATTGTGTTCAATTTGATAAGGACTTTTTGGGGCCAATTTACCCGGAAAGGGGCTTACGCCAGGGGGATTCTCTTTCTCCTTATTTATTTATTCTTGTGGCGGAAGGTTTGAGTGCACTGATGAGACGGACCGAACAGAGAGGAGATTTGCAGGGCATTTCGGTGTGTAGGGATGCACCTAGGGTGTCCCATCTATTATTTGCGGATGACTAATTTATTTTCTTTAAAGCTGATAGTCAAAATTGCTTGGCAGTGAAGAATATTTTGCAGGGTTTATGAGGATTGCTCGGGGCAGATGATGAATTTTAGTAAGTCCTCTTTAACTTTTAGCCCAAATGTGGGCGAACCGTTTAAAGATCAATGTTGCGATTTGTTTGAGATCCCGAGGGATGGAGGGCAGCATCTCTACCTCGGTCTTCCAGCTTTGGTGGGGAAGAATAAGACAGTTATTTTGGGTTATTTGAGGGAACGGATTTTCAACAGAATTAAAAGTTGGAATAACAGGTTCCTTTCTAGAGCAGGAAGGGGGGTTCTTCTAAAGAATGTTATTCGAGCAATGCCAACATATGCGATGAATGTCTTCCTTCTTCCAAAGGATACATGTTATAATATTGAAAAATTAATGAATGACTTGTGGTGGAGGGGAGCAAAGTTTGAGCTTAAAGGCCTGGAATGGAGGAGTTGGGATGCTATGTGTAAACCAAAGGAGGCAGGAGGGCTAAAGGAGGCAGGAGTGCTGGGTTTTAGGAAGCTAAGAGAGTTTAATTTAGCGATGTTGGCTAAACAGGGATGGCGATTAATTACGGAGCAACAAAGCCTTATGAGCCGTGTATTAAAGGCTAAATATTTTCCTCAGTCTTCTTTCTTGGAAGCAAAGGTAGGAAATAATCCTACTTTTATTTGGAGGAGTATTTTCGAGACTCGGAATAATTTGAAGGAGAACATCCGGCGTAGAGTGAAAAACGGTATTGATGTTCAGGTTTGGGCAGATGCTTGGTTACCAGGTTCAGGAACTGGGAAGGTTACTTCAAATAAGCCCCAGGGGGTGAGGGACATGAATGTGGAGGCTCTTCCAGATTTCACTGGTAGACATTGGAATCGAGAAAGAATTAATTCTTTATTTAATGAGTCAGATAAGAAGCTAATTTTAAGTGTACCGATCAGCATGCAAAATCGAGAGGATGGCTATTGGTGGACTGGGGAGAAGAATGGTACTTTTTCCAGTTAAAAGTTGCTATAGGAAGCTGATGGGAGAGCATGGCTCGGGGCCATGGGGCGGATGGAGTAAGATATGGGAACTGCATATTCCTCAAAAATTCAAATATTTTGCTTGGCAAGTGATGGACGATACTCTTCCTTTTGTTGCAAATTTGAGAAAGAGAGGCATTAATATTCAAGGGGGATGTGAGGTGTGTGGCATGGAGGAGGAATCACTTGATCATGCATTGAGATCATGTCCAAAAGTAAAGGAGGTATGGAGGGATGCACATCTTCGGTTGGACGGGCAGCAGATGTCGATGGATGCATGGCTGCAGCAGCCGCTTGAGCAGCAAGACCGCGAGGCACGTGGCATGTTTGTTACTCTCCTATGGTGTATTTGGAAGAGGCGGAACAAAGTGGTGTGGGAAAAAAAGAGCCAAGAGGCTTCAGCAGTTGTGCATATGGCGGATAGTATGGTTGTTAAATGGAAGGAAGCCCAACAAGTCTCGGTTAGGGCTGCTGCAGATGCGCAGCAGGCAGGCCCTCGGGCAGGGGTTTGGACGGAGGACAAGTGGCAAGCTCCGGAGGAAGGGGTGATCAAAGTAAATGTGGATGGAGCAACTAATCAGGCTGCAGGCTTACATGCATGGGGATGGGTAGCCAGAGACAACCATGGTGATTTTATTAAAGCGCAAGGAGTCTCCCAACGGGCTGAATGGACAGCGGAAGAAACCGAGGCTATGGGGATCAGGGACGTGTTACGTGAAGCCATAGCTGTAGGATGGAACCAAGTGGTAGTCGAGAGTGATGCATTATCACTTTATCAGTGATACAGGGAGTGGCGAGACGGGGTGGCGGCTCTTATCTTCAGCTAATTATTGATGATATTTTCTCTCTTATTGAGTTAAAGAGTAATTTAAGTATCTCTTTTTGTAAAAGGTCTGCGAACCATGTCGCTCATACCTTAGCTAGAGCACATGTTAGTTCACCAGATCATAGGACAGAGTATGTGACGATTACTGATTGTATCTCTAGCCGATTGGCAAACGATATTTTGAATTAATATATTAAGGATTGACAGACAAAAAATATATGTGTGTAAAAAGAGCTAACCACTGGAGAACTTTAAGCCATCAACAACGAATCTACAATGGTTAGTGATTGTTGTGTCCTACTCATTTGGTGGTTAGCAATTCGTATTGCTCTTTCATGGGTGATCGTTTCAAAATCTAGCCATATGATTGATAGTGCTAGTTGGTTACAGATAGTTGTTGTCAGTGTTGATCTCTCGAAATTCGTTGTAATGACCCGAATTTTATTTATATTAATATAAGCAGTTTTTCCGCAAAAAAAGACTATCTAGAAGTCAGCATGGTAAAAGGAAACGTATGTAGGGTTTATTTATTTAGAGAAAAGTGTCAAATTGGTCCTCGTACTCTGTACGGAAAGTCAATTATGCCCCGTACTTTAAATCTCATCAATTAAGTCCTCCAACTTTGAAATTTTCGTCAAAATCGACTTTTAGCAGGTAAACCGCCCGGTCAGCAGGTTACCTGCTGATGTGGTGCACATGTGGCCTGACATGGCGCGCACGTGACGAGCCACATCAGAATTTTTTCCCCTTTCTTCTTTCTTTTCTCTTTGCTTTCTTTCTCTTCCCTTCCAACCTTCTTCTTCTCTACACCCGCGGATATGAACAGTAACCGAAAAAATGGAGGGTGCTCGGAAAATTAAACGAAAATTATGAGGTGCGCCTGTTCACGACGACCTCCTTTGCATATTTTAATTTTTGTTCAGAGCCTCGATGGCGCCGGTAAAAATGCCGGAGGAGTCCAAAAAAAGGAACTTCCGATCAGCTATAAACCAGCCACCAAATCTCGTCCCTAGTTGCTCAAAATTGATATGTAGCATTGCTCCTAGCCAGCGAAGTCCAATTTAGTCTAAAAAATAAATAAATATCTCCCACATTTGAGTTATGAGCAATAATCGATCTTTGAATGAATAGTGTGTTTTGTCCTTACCGGTCATTGGCAAAGAAAAACGGGAGAAAGAAAGAAATAATGAAAGACGGATTTGTAATTTTTTTTGAAGGAAAGGAGATGAGGGGGCTGGAGGTTGAGGAAGAAGACTGGGTCGCTGGGAAAAGAAAAACGGGGAGAGAGAAAAGAAAGGGAAGGAAAAGAAAGAAAAAGAAAAAAGAAAAGAAAAAGAAAAGAAAAAATGACGTGGTCCGCCACATGTGTATCGTGCCAGGCCACGTAGGCTACCTAATAAAAGTCAATTTTGACGAAAATAACAAAGTAGGAGGACTTAGTTGATGAAACTTAAAGTACGAAAGCATTATTGACTTTCCATACCAAGTACAAGGACCAATTTGACATTTTTCTCATTTATTTAGTGGAGTACATAGAAAAGGTTTAGAAATAAATTGGAAACTCCTCATTATGATGTTGTTTATACTTGAACTTATTTCTCAAACCAGAACAAATCAGACAAGTCCAAACTTAAACAGATCAAACTTCTATAGTTATAAATAGACATAAATTAGACATCTACCAGACCAGACCAACTCAAAGCAAATCAAACCATAAATTTTTTGTCCACAAAGTAAAAACATGCTTAGTATGCTGGCAAACTTTGGGGGTGTACTACTCCTCGGTTTTAGTTTCCGCAAAATAAAGGGAGCCGATAACTCGGACCGAACCAACACATGTGACACGCCGCTCCTACTCTTTAAAAGGAAGTTGCATCTCTCTAATTTGACCTGTCACCTGTGCCCATCCCGAGTTTTAGGCATTCACTTTGGTACATTTTGACAACCCACTTGTACATAAAAATTTTCCCAAAGCAAAATAAAAACCATTGCTTTATTGTGTTATTCAATCACCCACCTCACTCTCATTTCTCGAGTCTTCAGCATCAAACAAGTCTTCAAGAGGGTCATAAATGATCATGCCTGGGAAGAATTCTAGAAAGTCATCCTTAACCTTCTCTCTCAAATCGCCAAAGCGGGATAAGGAAGAAGCCCTTTCAATCATCCTCCTCACTCTCACTTCTCGGGTCTTCATCATCAAACAAGTCTTCAGGAGGGTCATAAATGATCATGCCTGGGAAGAGTTCTAGAAAGTCATCCTTAACCTTCTCTCTCAAATCGGGATAAGGAAGAAGCCCTTTTAAAATAACTCGGTAAGGCAAAGATAAAGGGGGCTCGGTGGAGCTTCTCATTTCATCATAAACATGCATTGCCTCCTCAGGCAATCCACCATCCAAGAATGCCCTCACGAGGTCGCCGAATGTATGCTGGTCAAAAAGGACTCCCTCATTCTTCAAATCTTTCCACACCTGCTTTGCCTCCTCAGCTCTTTTGTTCCTTGCAAGCATCAGAAGCATATCCCTATAGAAAAACATATCTGGTCGATACCATATCTCCTTCCGCACCACCTCATACATCTGCATGTGGAAATGCATTCATTATAAATTCTAAAAATAGAAATAACACATGAACATAAGAATGCATTTTAGGTTCTTTGCCTCTTTCAAGATGATGACAGCAATATCACTAAATCCACTAATTCACTAATATAGCAAAAATTAACTTTACTTTAGAAGTAGCATAAGAGTAGGAGACAATTTAGTTATGTGAAATCACTAACAGAAAAATAAAATATGCACCTATTTCAATATGTGACTTCAGTTGCACTCAGTTTAAAACTGTGAGTGACCTGACTGAGGGTGTTGAAATTGTCCGATATGGCTGAAATAGCTCAATTTGCTAAAAGAGTTCCAAATACACTTTCTTGATAAATTAAAAATAATAATGTTTAAAATGAAGGTTCTGGTGTCATTTTCATTCATTTTACAAAATTCGGAAAGAAAGTGTTTTTTACACTAGCCCTTTGTTGTTAATCAATTCAGTCAGCATGATAAAAAGGGCTCATGAGCAGATATAAGAGATCACCAAATGAACGCATAACACCATCAGTTGTCCAGGATTACAACATAACAGGAAAAGCCTATTTGACTAAGATATTTTAGAATCATATATGATTCAGCATTTCTCCGTACAGACATTACATTGAGCTTTACCAAACAGAAAGTTCTTAATTTCTGCAACATAGGCTGATCAGGTGGAGTTTTAAGAACCATGGAGGAGCTTTACTTGGTGATTTTGATACTTGTAAACCTGTTTCTATTCTGGCACCTAAACTGAGAGTAGTGACTGAGGGGCCAAGCTTTGTGTATTTCTAAAAGTTTTAATCAAATTTTTGTGGCAATAGATTCTTTAAGTGCCTATTCCATTTGAATTAAGCCTCATTACATTGATTCTTGGAGTTGTGCTTATGATACAGAGACCGTTGGACAATGCTCAATGAAGGGCCTTGATTCAGTTGGAACATACTTATCGACAAATTTCATTTGGCCAATCTAGGGTACAAAAGTAAGAGGAAAGGGAACGGTAGACTGAAAGGCTTTTCTAAAGCTATTTGACAACTGATAGGCAAGCAGTCGAGTGAACTAGACTAGGACAAAAACGCCTATTTGATTAAGACCATTTATAATCATATATGATTCGGCATTTCTCCTTGAAGACATTACATTGAGAGTTAAAACCCAAACAAAAAATTCCTATTTTCTGCAACATAGACTGATCATGTGGAGTTATTGGGAAACCATGAAGGAGCTTGACTTGGTGGATATGCACCTTCTGTAAACCTGTTTGTAATATGGTAGCTAAACTAAGAGCAGCGACCGAGGGGCCTAGCTTTGTGTATTCCTAACTGTTTTGATCAAATTTTTGTGGCAATAGATTCTTTGAGTGCCTATTCCATTTGTAATGTGCCTCATTACATTGATTCTTGGAGTTGTGCTTATAATGCAGAGACTGTTTGGCAATGCTCAATGAAGGGCCTTGATTCAGTTGGAGCATACTTATTGGCAGATTTGATTTTGCCAATCTAGGGTACAAAAGTCAGAGGAAAGGGCAGCAGACTGATATGCTTTTCTCAGGCTATTTGATATCTGATAGGCAAGCAGTAGATTGAACTAGCATGAATTTACAAAACTTCATTTTAGTATTTCTAGAACGAGAACAAGAAGTGCACGCTATGATCGCTTAATCATATTAACTGACATGTCAAGCCATTTTATTCAACTAAAGCTACACAGTAATAGAAAACAATGATTGGAAATTCATTTATTTTCAATTAATAAAACAGTTAAAGAAAAAATGATGAGTCCGCATATAATGAGCAGGAAAATATTTATTTTCTCCTTCTAAATCACTTCTTTGTACCTTCATAGAAAGAAAGACAAGGTCCTGTCTTTGGAACTCGGCGAGGACGGCGACCGTATCAGATTTGAGAAGCCGAGATACCCTAGAGTTCATGAATCGCTCAAGACGGATCGGGTACGGCTGTAACCGTTTGAGCTCCTTGGCCACCATTAAACCTTCCTTCCCAATTTCCTTCTTGCGCCTCCATATCGATACGCTGGGACTTGACGCCGCTGCATTCGAACCGATGATGAGACATCTGATTGTGCTGCTTTGGTTTGATGAGGACGATGGTGAGTAGGCGGGTATGGTTAGGAATAGCGAGGCCCTCCTCAGCAGGCTCCCGCCATTACACCACATTCTTGATACAGTTAACGATCATCAGGGCACTCCTTGAATTCTGAAACTAGGTTTATTCCCAAAAACAATGGTCAGTTTGTTTGTTTGAGGCGGCGAGAAGTGTCACACGGACGCTCCGGCACCCATGAAGTGAACTAGATAGTTGAATTGAGAGCTATTTCTTTGACCCTCAAAGTGGTGATGTTCAGCCCTAAATTATGGCGCATGGCAATTTTTTTTAAAAAAAATGTTACTCCGTATTACTTTTTCTTTAACAAGTTTTTACAAAAATATCTCAAACTACATTATTATTATAAAAAATAAATAAATCATCTCAAATATGTTTTTTAAACCATAAATGAAAAAGTTATAACAATTTGAAACAAATCTGGATGCAATGTGGCAAGTAAAGAAGGGATGGAGTGAATATCATCCTCTTGAATGACTGTAAGAGTCAACAAAAGTGTTGTTAAATTTTGAAAAAGAATTACATATTCTTGTGTTCTCATACTCACAATCTGTGGGACAGTTTGCTGGGTTCAAATGAAGCCCTAATCATAATATAGTGGATAGAGAGTTTATAACACCTCTGACATCATGCGAAGTAGAAAAAAATTGTTAGCACACATTTTGTGTACACTTCTCTGTACACCCCCTTATTTTGCATGTGTAAACACTAAACAGACAATTCGTCTAAAAAATGAAAATATTTTGAAAATTCAAAAATACCTTTGTACAAAGATAAGTGTGCAAATCGTGCACAAAAAATGTATCCAACAACCAAAATTCTCAAGTAAGCTTGCTCCTAACCTAATAGACATAAATTGAACTTAGGACTATTCTTAATAGTATGCCCTATCAGGCTATGAATCAATTGAGCTACAGACCTACAGTCACTATTTGTTCTTGGATTCCCCCATTCATAGAAGGATGCAGAATCAACTGGATAGTTTAATTGTGATTCCATAACCATTTCACACTCTCACAGTCTCACTAAGCCTAACAACGAGAGAAAAACAAAAATAATTGTGAAAATCTTAAACAATTTACGTTCCACTTTTGCTATAGGGAAAAAACTGTGGCCTATTATTCTATTAATTTGAATTGAAACATTTTAGTTTAATGAGGTTTAAACTCATATAATCTTAAATTCCCAATTTGATAGACTGATAGAAATCAATTTGTCTTGACTTCCACTCACAATATTCTATTCCGAAATTAAAAACTAATAACCTCTAGACTTTCACAATTATATTGATGATGTTTTTAATTGGATTATAAATAAAATTCTAGTCTGATCTGTTTTTAATTGGCCTAAATTAGGGGTATCAATTGGAAAAATACCGGAACTAATCAATTAAGAGGAGAAGGATTGGAGTAATACCGGAACTAGGGAAGGTCGGAAGGTGACTATTGAGAAGGGCGGATTGGCCTAACCGCCGAAGGGTGAGTGGCGGAGAGCAGGCGACCGGGCGACGGGCGTGAAGCGAGTAAGCGACCACTGACAATACGTGCTGCGGTGATGGCGCCTGGTGGAGTGGCGGTGCTGCCGTGCTGCGTGCTGGAGCTTGCCGGAGGGCGAAGCCGCGAAAGGAGTCGGCAATTTAGCCGGGCGTTCGACACTTCGATGAGTTGAGCAGAGTTGTCCGGTGGGCTTCCTTAACTGGAAATACTACGCGTTTTGTTTAATTTTGGGCCTTTGTCCGGTTGAGCCTGAAACTTTACATTAGGCTGATTTAGGGGGCCCAAACTTTTATATTTATTGGGCCTGCGGCCCCACCCTTGCTACCCCTAGGGTCCCAGGGCCGCCTCTAGATATGGGCTTTGTGATTCTATTTCTACTTTGGGGTTTGGGTGAGATTACTAGAAATTAGTGAGATGAAACAAAGGCGGGACACAAGGGCGATACTAATCAGGATGTTTTCTTTTGGATTGAAATTCATTGTTCTTGTCTGGTCTGATCTGTTTTATTCTGCTCTACTCTGGTTTGGTTTATTTTAATTTGGTTTGGTTTGTTCTGGTTTAGTCTGGTTTGTTCTCAAATTTTATTTTAACTAAAGTATTATTTATATATTATAATTCGTAAATAATTAAGTTTTATTCATATATAATTAATATAATTAAAAATTAAGAATTTTCATTCCAAATTTAGGCAATTTTTTAATTTGGGGTGGGCAAGGGCCTAGATTGACCCTCTCCTTGCTCCGCCCCTAATTTCCGGTATAGCTATCAGATAGATTCTTCATAATTTGGAGAAGGAAAAACCAATTAAATAAGAAGAGGAAAAAGGGAAGAGGAGAAAGAAAAAACATCAAAGAGAAGAGAAGACGGGGAGGAAGACACATACCTTTTTCATTAAATATTGATTGAATCAGAATCGACTGATAAATACCGATAAAAATGTGCTAAACCCAACTGAAAATGATACAAACCGATCGTAATTTAACTGATACCAACTTAAGTAGTGCGATATGGTTCTCAGTTACATCTTTTTTAAATCGAAACTGATAAAACCGAAACTAATATAACCAATCCCCACAAAAATGAACCAGCGAACACCCCTACCTATTACATACGTAGTAATAAATAACAAACATTTTACACATATCACAATCATATCAACTATCAATAATTGTGGAGCGAATGCAAGTTTTGCCATCATAACCAACTTGTTGCAGATGTCAAGTTTTGCCATGAACAACTTGTTGCAAATGTTATTATCTGTAGGGAAAACTGTCAAATAGGTCCTCGAACTTTCATAAAAAGGTCAATTAAGTCCTTCTATAGGAGGTTCTGTCCGGCCGTCGCGATTTGGGGCTGTTCCCGGTGGAATTTTTTGATGAAATTTTTTGAGCATGTTATTCATCAAGTCTAGTTTACGTATACCAAATTTCAGCTAACAATTCAATCGGGAACACATTCAAATTAATTCTTGAAGATAATTGCGCATTTTTGCATTCTCGAATTAATTTGAATGCACTCCCGATTAATTTGAATGCACTCCCGATAACCAATCTCGCATTATAGCCTTCTTACTCGCAGCACTTCTACTGCCCTGTAAGACGAACAGCCGACGAGCCTTTAGCAAAAAGTATTGTATTGGGGAGTTATTAACAGATTAATAATACCTAATCACTTGCTTGCTACTTATTGTTTCTTAATCCATCTCGCTTGTTAGTTGGGCTAGCTTATTCATACACACTCCACTCGAAACTCTTGGGCTTACGTGTAATAGTGTAATTATAAGGACTCTTATGTAATTACTCAAGTTTATTCTTTATTATAAATACAACACTAGGGCTACCTCTTGGGTAAGCCATTCCATCATTATTATTTTTTCACATGGTACCAGAGCAATATGTCGATAATTGAGATAAAGGGGAGGTGTTTACCGGAGGCGTAGCATGTTGAGAAGTGGAGCCAGCCTCAAACGGCATGATCCCTGGTTGGCCAGAGAAAGTCGGACCGGTGTATGGCGAGACAAAAGGGGCTGCCGGACGAGTAGGGACTGCAGGTGGAGGCATAGTCGGCACTGTGGGAGTCCAAGAGAATGGCTCCGGCATGTTGAACGTGCGAAAAGATCCCAACGGAGGAGGCGGCAGCGTGAGCCTGGTTGAAGATAATTGTGGTGACATGTAAACACCGGAGGAGTAGAGCGGCTCCGTGTGGACGGGCGCTGTTGGAGCCAGTACCGCGGCAGTCATTGTTGACGAAGAAGCAGAGGTAGAAGACGACGCCGAGGTGTGAAGAATCGGCTGGCTGACCGGCGGCAACGATGAGGGAGGGTCGTGCGCCTTAGAAGGAGTAGTCGACATATTGTTCTAGGGTTGGAAAGCCTTAGAAGGAGTAGTCGACATATTGTTAAACCCACCACGGTTCGTCTTGTTCTTTCTGTTGCTGTTTCCTCAGGCTGGGCGGTGCGTCAGTTAGACGTCAAAAATGCCTTTCTCCATGGTCATCTTACTGAAGAAGTTTACATGCGTCAGCCCCCAGGTTTCATTCACCCATCCTACCCTACTCATATCTGTAAACTGAAGAAAGCTCTTTATGGTTTAAAACAAGCTCCACGTGCGTGGTTTCATCGGTTTAGTGGTTTTTTATTATCCCTTGGTTTTTCACAAAGTCAGTCTGATTCATCAATGTTTACTTACCACTCTCAGTCACGCGTCATTTACATATTGCTCTATGTCGATGACATTCTTATTACCGGTAGTTCTGAGTCTCTAGTTCGTCATTTTATTCATTTATTATCCAATCAATTTGCAATGAAAGACTTGGGTGATATTCATTTTTTTCTTGGTATTCACGCTACGCGCACGTCCAAGGGCATGTTTCTCTCTCAACATAAATATGTCACTGATCTGCTTCACCGTTTTCATCTTCACACTGTAAAACCGGTACGGACTCCTCTCCCGTCTCGCACTACTTTATCTCTCACAGATGGGGATCTTCTTAGCGATGATATTGTGGTAGGTGCATTGCAATACTTGACTATTACTAGACCTGACATTACTTATGCCGTACATTTGGTTTCTCAGTTTATGCATGCTCCCCGTACTACTCACCTTGCTGCTGTGAAAAGAATTTATAGGTACTTACAGGGCACTTCTTCACACGGCCTATGGCTTCGGGGTGGATAGAGTGTTTCGCTGATTGTTGCTTATTTAGATGCTGACTGGGCTGGGTGTCCGGACTCGTGTAGATCCACAACAGGCTATGCTATATTTCTTGGTGGTAATCTTATTTCTTGGCGCTCCAAAAAGCAACCAACAGTCTCCAAGTCTTCCACTGAGGCAGAATACCGGGCTGTAGCTTACACTGTGCAGGACACATTATTTATTCGATCATTGCTTCTTGATATGGGTATTCGGATATCCTCCCCAGTTCAGCTGTTCTGTGATAATGTCTCTGCCTCATATCTCGCCGTTAATCCTATTCAGCATGATCGCAGCAAGCATATCAAGATTGATTATCATTTTGTCCGTGAACGTGTTGCACATGGAGATCTGGTGGTTAAGTACACTCCTACTCAGTACCAGTTAGCTGACATATTTACAAAAAAATTGTCTAGTCAGCGTTTTGAATTTTTACGTTTCAATCTGCACGTGATTTCTCCTGCACAGATTGAGGGGGTGTAATGGTGTAATTATAAGGACTCTTATGTAATTACTCAAGTTTATTCTTTATTATAAATACAACACTAGGGCTACCTCTTGGGTAAGCCATTCCATCATTATTATTTTCTCACAACGTGTTGGACCCGAGGGTTGAAGGAATAAACCTCAACAGATATACATAAAAATGATAAGATAAAAAGGATAAACAATATATATAATAAAAAAGATCAAAGGATAAAAACATAAGCAAGAAGCAGAAGATAAAGGAAAAAAAATTGTAAGAGATCAATCTGCGACATAAATATTCATTCTCCACCTTACTCTACCCAGATCCGTACCCTCATGGCTTCATCAAACCCAACAAGATGCATATCATCTACTCTTCTAATCCACGTTTATTTGGATTGCAACAAATTCAAATAAAAACATTTTATATGTATGTGTATTATTATATGTATAATAATGGAAATTTTGTCACACCTTATGATATAAAGTGCATACTTACAAATGTACGCATAAGCGTTAAATAACGTTCACAATCCACCGCTCTATTCCACTTGGCTACACCCGCTCCCGACTAAACTATGTTCTTTTCAAAAGGGAATCAATAAATTATACGTACGTAGTATTGTTTTCACTTGTGTGTTTCCTTCATATCCTAATATACTCCTATGATGTACACACAGTTTTTTTTGCGAGAATACACATACAGTGTTTTAAATACTTATGCACATTTCACCATATTTTCTTTAAAAGTTTTTTCATGACATTAACGATGTCATTCACCTTTTTAATTGATTAACACAAGTGATCAAGATAAATTGTCATTTTTCAAAATAAATCCACATCACCCGATTATTGTTTATAATCACTTTGAAAAATTACCACCTGTTTTTTAAGAGCAGTCAGCAGATGATTATTTTTCTCCTGGACTTCCAGATTGGATTATACCAATGCCGTCTCATAAAATTTGATGAAATTTGACTTGTATACATAGGCGGATCTATTGAGGAAGGATGGGGGCGGCTGCCCCCAACACAATCCCACTAAATACATATAATGTACTCGTATTAGAATATATTGGAGATCCATGTATTGCCCCCAATAAAAAATCATCGTTGCCCTCAATAAATTAAAGCAGACTCCTAAGCTAGCTGAAAGTTTGGTTGGTTTATGGGAAGCTCATCTAAAATGATAAAATCTGTAATTAAGATGTCAAAACCGTGTCGAGGTAGTAGAGTAACGAATGTGATGCTAATTTATTAGTGGGATTATAAATGTACAGTGAGATTTAATATATTGAGATTATTAATTTGTTTATTGTAACCGTTTAATGTTATGTTTTTGAAAATCTAAAGTTCCAATCACTGCCATTGCTGTTTATTGTTTATTTTAGGAAAAACTGTCAAATAGGTCCTCGAACTTTCGTAAAAAGGTCAATTAAGTCCTTCTATAGGAGGTTCTGTCCGCCCGTCGCGATTTGGGGCAGTTCCCGGTGGAATATTTTGATGAAATTTTTTGAGCATCTCATTCACCAAGTCTAGTTTACTCATACCAAATTTCAGCTAAAAATTCAACCGGGAACACATTCAAATTAATTCTTGAAGATAACTGCGCATTTTTGCGTTCTCGAATTAATTTGAATGTGTTCCCGATTAAATTTTTAGCTGAAATTTGGTATGCGTAAACTAGACTTGATGAATAAGATGCTCAAAAAATTTAATCAAAAAATTCCATCGGGAACCGTCCCAAATCGCGACGACCGGACATAGTCTCCTATAGAAGGACTTAATTGACTTTTTTATGAAAGTTCGAGGACCTATTTGACAGTTTTCCCTTTATTTTAAAGTGTTAGTGGTTAGTGGAAGAGTCTTACATCTAATTTATTTAATTTAGTTGATGACTTGCTAAGAAAATTAATATTACTAGAAAAATGTCATTTAGATAGTCAAATATAAAAATCCTAACTAATATGTTCTTTTAAATAGTTAAATTAGAGCTCGTTTATTGACCATAGTTTTCGGCTTATCAAGCTTATCAGTCAAACTTTTTCTCCAAATACGTAACTTTTGATTTCACGCGCTGAATTATTTAAGAATAAGAAAAAGTAAGGTTGAAGTTACTTTTCTGGTTGTATTGGCTGCATTTACTGTAGATGACCACTTGAGCTATTTTTCATGCATTTTTTCTCTATCTGATTGATAAAATATACGGAGTAATTTAATTTTTCCCACATAAATCAGCAGAATCAGTCAATCTAATCACTTTAGCTTTAACTTCATGAATTTCAGTAGAATCAACTGATTCAGCCGATTTCAATGTTACCAAATGAGCTCTAAATGTATTAATGTATAACTAACTTCATGCAGAGTATATAATAATAGTAATAATAATGTAATATTAATTTCACTTTCGAGGCTTAAAGAAGAGATATTTGATTACCTATCTTTCATTAAAACCGGGTAGCTCAAATAGTAATGTCTCTATAAGCACTTGTCATGGGAACCGTAGAGATTTGCTTCCCCACTATGAAAAAGATGAAAACTAATTTGTGTAGTAGAATTGATGATAAATTTGTTTTTTTTTGTGATGGTCTGTTTTTCTTGAAAAATGCTATAGTATATATGGAGTATATGTTTAAAACTGTTATCCAAGAAAACAAAATCCTGCAAGAACAATTGTGATGTATTTTGTTAATACTACAATTGTGATGTATTTTGTTAATACTACTAATTTTTGTTCCTCTAAACTTTCTTAACTACTTTGCCCCAATAACTATTTTTCTTAGATCCGCCACTGCTTGTATATATAATAATAAAAAATAAATATGTGATTGGATGATATTCGTACCGAGGAGATAGAAATAACTTTAATTACATGTAGTGGGATAAGAAAATTAAATGAAAAAGAAAAGAATAAATGATTAAATAAGGAAATTTGGAAAAAATTTATGGGATAATACATGTAGTGGGATTACAAAATTATTCCAAGCTAATGACAATACTACTACTATTTGATAATAAATTAATAATAGTAGCTAACAGATTTTATTCCCACCACCGTTGCACTCAAAAGTTTGTCAACATCCAGTAATGTATTAATATTAACTACCTAAACCTTACTGTTTTGGCATCTTATGAATTTGTTCAACCTTGTGTCCCTTGAGATTAAGATAAATACTTAGTATATAAAAAGGGCAACGGTTACTTAAAAGGGTTTTCGTAAACAACAGTCCTTTTTACACTATTTATGTATTAATGAAAAGGACAAATATTAAGTTATTCATAAAATAACTTCACTTGGATTGCTCTATTAAAGTTCCACAAATTTACCTTATTTTTTGTACTTTGTCCGTTTGTTCCTAAACAAATAGTTGACTCACTTTGACAAGATACAAAAATTAATAAAATACGATAGTATAAATTATGTAAAAATTGAAGGAAATATTAATAAATGAACAAAAATATTTTACTTATAAAAAAAATGAGAATTACTGTATGACCTATCAATTGCAAAAATAATGAGTATCGAAGTATCATCGATGTTCAACGTTCAAATATTTCATAAGGTGGACTATTAATTACTCTCTCCGTCTGATTTATATTGTCCCGTTTTACCTTTTCGAGAAGTCTCACTTAAACTGTCTCATACCATATTTGGCAAAGTTTGTGTGGTTCTAAATCATTCTTACTTTATTAATTAATATCAACCACACAAACTCATTTTTCTTAATAATCGTGTCACCCTCTTCCGTCCCAATATAAATGGGACGGAGGTAGTACTAAGGTACGATAATAAATATGATAGGTAAATATGTCTTGAAAATTACATAAAATATCATATCATAGTTAATGCTTAAACTATGGTTAGCATTTGCCTATTTAAAAAGGAAGAATACAAGAAAAGTAGAATAGGAAAAAGATGGCTACATAATTAAAAGCCCTCCTTGTAATAACCATTTAAAGACTAAACAAGCTTAGCTCTTACCTAAAGCAATATTCTCTTTATGTTCTCTCCCCATCTTGCTTCTTCCTTCCCAACACTACATAGTAGAATGGAAGACCAATGCAGCCCTCTTAGCTGGCCTCTCTTCTTCCAGGAAGAGGTAATTTAAACACTCAAATATGGATCTTAATTGTAGTTTTGGTTTCATAATTGTTTGATTTTTTGCTTCAAAAATGGAAGTAATAATGTGTGTTTATGCCATGGTTGGATAGGAAATTGAGCTGAAACATTCTCTGCTTTACACTACTCTGGAGCTGGAAAACACAATTCTCAGTGCGCAGGAAGAGATTTCCAGGAAAGATGAAGAGATTTTGCAGCTGAAGAACCTGTTAGCGATATTTGCTCAGGAGAGAGATGAAGCCATGGAGGAATGCCGGCGGCTAGGGTTTGGGAAATCGCGGCTCCAGATCGGGAAACCCGACAATGCTTTCAGCGGAACAACGACCAACGAAGATCTAGAAAATGGACTCTGCAATTCCTCGGATTCCGAGGAAATTGCCGCCGTCGCGGCTGTTGTTTCCCCGGTTAGATCGCCGCCGCCGCTTCCGGATGATGTGACGGTCAAAATCGCCCCGAAACTGCCCTTGCCGGAGAAGGGGAAGTTTCTGCAGGCGGTGATGGACGCCGGGCCGCTGCTGCAGACGCTCCTCCTCGCCGGACCTCTCCCGCGGTGGCAACATCCGCCTCCTCAGCTCAACTCCGTCGACATTCCGCCGGTAACCATCTGCTCCCCCCGGCTGGATTCCGCCGCCGTCAGCAGGAAGAGAGCGGCGAGTAATCCCGTATCCCCATCTTCCCTAAAGTATACAAAGGTTTTCCATCAATCATCATCTTTGACCTCCATCTAATTATTCTCCATAACCCGCAGATCTCCTTTTTCAAAAAGAAGATTCTACTGCTAGTGGTTTTTTACCTTAGAAATTAATCATAGGAAAGAAAGACAAGTTCAAAGAGAAACCTTAGAGAAGCCTAATTAATTATGAGTGGCCTGTTTCTCTTTCAAAGAATCCCACTAAAATGTGAGGATTTGCCTCCTTTTTTGCTTTATTCCCTAATCCTACTTTAATTATTAGATTAGATGTGTGGGTGTTGGATATGGAGACCTGAATGTTCTGATCCACAAACACTTTAAATTTGTGATCTCTTATGAGTCTATATATGTTGCTGGTCTAAGGAGGCCATCTTTAGCAATTCCATCCCCATATAATATACTAAAGTGAGCCTTTTGATTTATATATATTTAAGTATATAAACTAGTTTTTACTTTATATTTCTAAAATGGAAAGTGAAGTATATATGATAGCTTTGTGCCTTTGTTTTTACAAACATAAAAAATTTAGTATTATGCAATTGCATCTCTTGAGATGTATGGTTGTTGTAGACCAGATATGGTCATGATTAAGTGGCTGAGTTTTATATTTTAATGATGAGATTATGTTTATGCTCTTCATTAATTTACTTATGTTATTGAAAATAGTGTGTTTTTATTTAAACGATCAAGTTACTTGAGAAATTGTAACGAATTCTTATACGATATTAGAATTTGAACTTTAATCTTAAAAATATTCATTTAATAAGAGGAATAACTCAAAGTTTTAGATGTGAATGATACCTTTACATTGTGACCAGTACATAATTGCTCAACAATTGTAAGACAACCAAAAACAACTTTCGCTTGTTTAGTGTTATTACGGATAGTGGCATAGAAATTAAAGAAAAGTAGGGTACAAATATAATCCATATAGAGTGAGATAAACACTTTGAAATGGAGAAATATAAATATAAAGAGAAAATTTCTTCTCCTTGATATTGGCAAATACAATTACTTCCTACTTAATTTCAACAAAATATGACTAAGTATTAACATGTTTTTTCAAAAATAGGACACAATGTTTAGCATTTCATGAATAACAAAAATCATTTTTTCAAGTTTCGCAAATATTGCTCTAGTAAATGAGTCCGGTCATTTAACGAGTATATTTATGGAGCACACTAGTGTTCACTAAGGTGACACAATGAATGACTAAACTTTACTCGCCTAAAATATTAAAAAAATCTCAATCATTCATCTAGTCATGTGGTTCTCAAAGCTATTAGCCTTAATAGGACTAAAACTAGTCATAAATGCAACAATAGAACTATAAAATTTTTATTCTCAAAATAAGAGTAATATATGTCACTTATTTGAAATGATTATATAAATATGACCAAAATAAAGATGATTTACAAAAAAATGACTAGTTACTAGAGTAGTAATGAAATCATAGTAATTCATGTTCAAGTTTTGAACTTAAGTTACCACAACACTACGTTGTTGTAATCAATAGTCATATTTATGTAAATAAGTTTTATTTTAGTAATATTCTTGTAAAAACCCCTACTTTTTTCTATTCTACTCACTTCCTATAATTTGCAATAGATTTATTTTATAATAAGAAAATCACAGTGCTATTTAAAATAAGAAATATAAAATTAATAAAAATATTTCTAAATTAATACTACCTCTGCTCCTGAAAATACTTCTCAGTCACTATTCATTCGTCAACTTAAATCACTCTTAATCTTTTACTTTATACGGAGTATTTCAATTTTTTATCAAATTTAAATTTTCTTGATCAGACTTTGTAACGGTTTTAATGTAGTTTCTAAATATGTAAATTTTATTTACTAAAAATAATCCGAGTATGACCAGGGATCGAGTTGTTTTATTGTCGGTCAAGCATCGTAAGCCGAACGGGGGGAGTAATAAAAGCGGGGCAAAAAATAAAAACTTTAATAAAATCTAAAACAAATCCCTAAGATTTTTTTAAAATAATATGTAAACCTCTGCCACCACATCCTTCACCTCCCAGCACAATCTGCTCTGATTGCCGAAAAAATGTCATTTGGTGTAAACAACCACATTCCCTTGAGAATGCCATGGATATGTCAATTTTTACTCTTTGAAAATATTCGGGTGTTTCTCAAACTTGTCATTACGATAATATTGTTTCAATTTGGCATTCTTTTCCGATGACCAGAGGTAGTTGAAGTGGTCGTTGAGGCATGTATTTTTTTTTATATTTTTCATTTTTATTTTAAATTCACCCGCAAACAAATAGTTTAAATTATTGAAACATACTACAAAATTTTTCATTTTTTTTATAATTTTAATTATTGAAACAATTAATCTATTGAAACATACTACGTATTTTAAATTATTTAACAACGAATTTAAATTTATACTTTATTATTCTTCGTATTGGTCAAACTTGGTCAAGTTTTAAAAGATGAAAAAGATATAATTTAGTGATAATTTTTGTATATAATGTAAATCTGAGTTATGACGACTCCACCAATTACTAATAGATAAGGTAAAATAGCTAATTGGGCAGGGCGCCCCATCTTTCACAAAGATGATTGGGTAGGGTGCCCCATCTTTCACATGGAAGGCCGATCAAAACTCATAAGACAACATCCCGTTACGTAGGGACGTCTAATGAATTTTATTTGGAGGCCCCAGTTCCAAACATAAAATCGAGGCCCAACATTTATATAAAAATTATAAACAATTCAATCTAAAATACTTATGCTCAAATCAATTGAGTAATTATTAAAAAATGTAATAAAAATATTCTCAAAGTTAATACTTGATTTAAAGCAAGGCAACTCATTATCCAATAAATTTGAGTAAATTAAAAGAGAACTAAAAGGACTAATGATAAAAATGATGAACTTATATTTTTCTTCATTACTAACTATAATTTACTGATTAGTATTAATGTATAATATTACTACGTACTATATAATAGTAAGGGAAAAGGGGCAAATAAGCCCTCGAACTAATAAAAAAAGTGCAAATAAGCCCTTTTGTAGGAGGTTCTGTCCGATCATCGTCATTTGGGGAGGTTCTCGGTGGAATTTTTGGATGAATTTTTTTGAGCATCTTCTTCATTAAGTGTAGTTTAGCCATACCAAATTTCAGCTAAAAATTCAACCGGGAAGGCACTCAAATGATTTTCGGAAATATACTGCGTTGTTTAACTGTGCAGTTATCTTCAAAAATTCATTTGAATGTCTTCCCGATTGAATTTTTAGCTGAACTTCGGTATGACTAAACTAGACTTAATGAATAAGATGCTAAAAAAATTTCATCAAAAAATTCCACCGAGAAACTCCCCAAATGAAGATGGCCGGACGGAACCTCATACAAAAGGGCTTATTTGCACTTTTTTTATTAGTTCGAGGGCTTATTTGCCCCTTTTCCCTAATAGTAATGAATTTGTTAAAATGATGGGGGCATAAATTGAGGGCTCTGTTATGAATAACCTATTTAACTTCCTAAAAAAACGGCCATGCCGTTACAGATCACAAGATGAGCCTATGTCTTGCATAATTGTCCTACTTCGACTCATTTGAGATGTTTGGAAAATGGTGTTTCAGTAGAAAAATGTCAGTTTGACATCTTTTAGCGTCTTCAATAAGTGAAAGTGCACTCTGTTTGATAAGTAGTTTTTCGGCCCTAACGGTGATTACTGAAATCGCTGAAATGAAAACGCTGCAAATGACATCGTTTTGGATTAGCTTTTGAAATATGACATTTTTCTACTAATTGCTATAGCCAAACAGCTAAATTAGCAAACACGTTTTTGCAAACCCGTCATCTTATTCCGCTAGTCAAACCTGTTGAATGACTCCACTATTAACAACTCGCTAACACTATCTCTTATCCGTTAACTAGTAAAGATTAAATGTCAAATACACTCATTGCCATGTCTACTGATTAACGGGTTAGTTTAGCAAGTACCCTCGTTACCTAACAAAACAAAAAACATTAATAGGAACTTAGATTCCACTGGATACCACCTGTCCCTACCTTGCCATCGTCTGCTTCCAATTTAAATAATCAACATCATCAATAACTAATAAATTAGCTACCTTCGTTGCATCTTCTATAAGACCATTACTTTATTAATTAAACAATTAATTAACAAGAAAGACAATCGAGGGTATCTTATTAGAAGATACGGTGGGGAAAATAAGTGATGGAATTCGATTGACAATACTTTAATACCCCGATTGAGTACGTCAAGGACCAGAAAGAATTGAAGGGGGGGAGGGGGTATAGGTAGTAAATACTGTCATATTTAGGGGACATATTGTGTGGTTAGTTGAAGTTAGATTGAATTTTTTGGCAACAAAAGGTTGACGTTTTATGATAGTTTAGTAAATATTGAATGTTGGAGAGACTTGAGAGAGTGATATAAATTTGAATTGGCTCATCCAATCTATAGATAGATACGCGACCATTTAATTATGTGTTTCTAAAAATTACGAAAAGATTTACAAAGTACTACGGATGATAATGAAAGGGATAAGGTATAGTGACTAATTTCACAATTCATTATGATGCGTGCTAGCTTTAAATCATTGAGAAAATTAGCCTCGAGTTCTTAATACTGAATATAAATTATGAGTTTAATTTCTTTAGTTGCTCCTAGGGATGTGTTCACTTATGTACTGTAGTTTTCGAGTTTGGTTTGGCGTGAACTTAATTGATTGATTAACCGAAGTTTGAACTAAATCAATATTTAGTTTGATTTGTTTATGTTTGGCTTGATTTTGAATTGGACTAGTCTAGTACGAGAGGTATAATTTTTATTTTTGTATTCTCCAAGTATGATCAAGTGTGATCTCATATAGTAAATTGGTCGATTGAAGTTTGGTTAAATTTGTTTAAATCAAATCTAGTATGAGTCGAGATTTAAATCAATTCAAATAAAAATATCCTATATATAACTTATAAGTTTGAGAAAATGGCAAATACTTTAATTATTACCTCAATAAAAATCATTAGTTTCATTTTCCAAAAATGTGACAAACTTTAACAGATTATTTAATTAATATACACTTCTTTTAATTCCAATTTCTAGCTACCCAACTACCCACCCTTGCCTCTTGTCCCACTGTTGCCTCCATAAAAAACTATTGGCGGCTACCGACGAAAACTGTGTTGCTATCGTTGGTAGTTGGAATGTTTGTTTAACTTTTTATAAATTTTTACTGAAAAGAAGTCATTAGATCAGATTTTTTTGCAGTCACACTAACATGTTCCACGACGGCGGTGACACTGGTGGCCGTGACTGTGACATGGTGGCGACAATAGTGACATTGACAGTCACTGGTTGTGACATAATAAACTGACCGTTGATAAGAAAAGTTGCTAGTGACTTACCAAACTGTTAGTGACATTATGTTTATATTTTTCAATTTTAGTACTTCGTAACTTTTAATCACATTTTGTGTATGTACAAAGTAGTCACTTTTTTTTTTTTTTAAATTAACTTCAATATAGTACTACATAACAATTTAGGGAAACTCCTATAAATTCCCTTGGTCATTTTTCTATAATTAAACATAAATAACTTGTTGACTTTATTTTCAGTGTAATAAATAATTTCAGTTCACATC